TTGATGTATTCCCTCCCCACCCCAGGCCAAGTGGCAGAACCAGGTCTTCAAAGCCCTCCAGCTTTGAAACGTATCTGTGACGTATGCCAACTGGGAAACTGCTGAAAACCAGCATGCTTGCATTCAAACTCTGAACCTCAACTCATTGTGCGAGACAAAAAGACAAGCCAGCACAGCTACTGCAAAACATTCACCGACAATTTTTTTCTGTGTTCAGTTTTTCTGTCTTTCTGTGAGCTTAACTACCCTATCAATGCCCTAGCATTAATCACTGCCTTAGACTGCCCGTTTCATAGTTTTGGGTTTTGTTTTGGTTTTGTTTTGCTATTTTTACATTATTTAAGCTTATATTCCCCATGTTTAGTCTCAAAATGATGGTAAAATTTAGCAGATTTTAAGCTTTCATAGTTTGTCTGCTCCAGTGAAAGTACATCCCAGTTTTAAAAATTCACTGCTTTGTTTCCTCTGCACTGCTAGCTTACTTACTTTTGTTCCGCTGAGTTTCATAGGCTGATGTCTCACTGCCATTTGTACCATCTGTCCCTTTTCTCTTAAGTGTGCCAGATAAAAGCCAATGATCCATTTTTGGATTCCTAATTATAATTGCCAAATGTGCAAATTAATGACGGGCCTCACGTGCTCACACACAATGGTGCATTGGGGTGTGACACAGCAGGCTCCTCTGTAAAAGGAGACGTAAGAACAGCAGCAATGGCCTGATGCAAGAAAAGGCTATTGCTGCCACTTCTTTCTAACACTTCCACATGTTCACACACAGCGACCCTTGGTTTGTTCTTCCTTCCCCAGGGAAAGATCATGTGACCACATCACCGCATGATCAGCTCGTAATTCTAAAGTGTTTGATCTTTGTTCATTAGGTATTTTCCAAAGGGAAAAGGTCACCAGTTACCAAAATTATTAAAGAATGCAATTTCAACTTTCAAACTTGTAGCTCAAAATATTTTGAATATCAAAGAAGGGGGATTACAAGTGCAAACTTGAATTTTCCATGCTCTGCCTGAGCCACTGATTTTGTGCTCTCTCTCTCTTTCACCTCCCAGTGCATTAAAACTGGTCTTTCCTTCCAAATTGCTTTCTTTAAATTCACTTGCACTGCAACTTCCTACTCATGATCAGATATATCTGCCCTTTGTCAAGAATGCTTTCATTCATTGATAATTTTTCTCTGCCTTGGTATGTTATCACTCTAGCAACAATAGCCAAATTTCACATATCTGTTCATATCCTGCAAAGGATAAACATATTTTTGGATTTGTTTTGTTCTTGAATGCAAGTTTTGTTTCGTTCACTACTTTCAAAATCCATTTAGGACCATTTATCACACACTCCAGCTCTCAAAATCATATGAACTATATCCTGGTTGAGATGACTTTATTGTCCTAAATCACGTTTCCATTCTTAAAGGAAGGCTATAAATATTCTAAACAAACAATAATAAGACAACCATTTTATGTTAAAATATTAGCTGCAATGATCACTGAAATCTTGATTCCTCAGAACAGAAGAGGGAGGTTCATCTGCCATCATAGCTACACTAAGATAACCATGTTAGTCTCTGTGCCTCTAACCTATAGATCTTTGGCTGAAAAATCCTGTGAGAATAATCTGAACTATTTTACCTTAAATATATATTTTAATGCAATTAAAATCACATCTTCAAAACATGATAAAATATAAAGCTCTCGCAATATTTTTTCCGCAAGGTGTCTTAATAAAATGGGGGGGGAGGAGGAAGATAAACTTTTTCTTATATATGCTACTAATGAGGGCACACTACTTGTTATCATTTTGTCACTCTTAATTCTTTTACCAATCAATAAGGCACACTCTACAGGTTTAAGACTAGTCTAATGTATGGCTTTCAGATTAATAATTCAAAATTATCCTGCGGTTTTACGCTAATGGCCCTGCTTTTTCAGGCTCTTTGTTGACCCTCAGTCCCTGCCTCCTTCCTGGCCTTTGCCTCCTCCCTCCAGGCCCCCATCTCTTCAAACCAGCCTCCCCCCTCACAACTTGATTTCAAATACTGATGGGGAGAAATTTTCAGATAGGTTTCCCTGCAAATCCTGAGGCAAAGATTTCCCAAGATTCTTCCTTACTCCAATTGTGGCAAGTTTTAAATCTGGTCCCAATCTTTTTAAGGCTCTTATCATGCCTTTAATCCAATATTAGGTGGACAACCTTCAAGATATTACACTTCTTCAATAAATATGAAGTCTCAGATAAGATAAACTCAGTTATTATTTGCTAAGGATGAAGCTTAGTTTCCAGCAATCATTGGTTTTATTCCAGAACACATCTGAAATGCAATGAAATCCAAAACGGTAAGACACACTGTAATATTTAAATATCTTACTCAATTAAAGTCAGATATTTACAAATCTAATCCAGAAACAGAATAGTGGCTGCAACTTCAGGTCACCATTGTATACGTGGTCATCTCTTCATACTGCTGGCAACAGTAAAATACAGCCATATTATGTTGTGTTTATGCTCCTTAAATAAACAAATTTAGAACAAAAACATCTTTCTACAATTAAGTCTGAACCTAGATATAATTCATTGTGAAGGGGACAAACCTGGGCCACTTTAACGGAATTCTGCGTAGAGCCGCCAGCATGATATTCTACCTTGAACTTTTTCACAAGTTCTTCAAATCTGTAAGAGATCAGAAAGGGCCAGGGCAATATAGGAAGGGGGGGGGGAGAGGTTACATTTTGTAATTCTGTACACTTCAAAACATAAGCATTTGAATTTAGGCATAAATATAACAATAGTTCAACAGGAACTAACTCAAAATATATTACCTGCTGTTGCAAGGGACCAAGTTGATAAAATAGGAACTATAAAGCGTTATGAAAGTGTTTTTTATTTTTATATTTTGGTCAACCAGCAGAAGAAACCATGAGAAAACATTTTCACATATTATTACATTGGCCAAACTACAGAAGAAGAATTATATCCTTTATGACAGAAGCATGAAACCTGACATATATGAAGGTCAAATTACAGTAGGAAAGAATTCCCCAAATTCCATACGCTACACTGGATTTTAGTCAAAAGGCTGAGAAGCGAGAATTCATAATCTATTTTACTGCTATTTGAGAGAGTTAAAAACACCATCTCTCAAGTTCTAAGAGCTCAATTTGCCTTGTCTTTATGTGAGATTATGTGCACTAATCAGACCTAAACAAACAGATAATAAAAAATAAAAAATAAAAAAAGGTAAGGCAATTTAATAGTCAAAACAAGTGGCAAAGTTAATATTTAATAAGCTTGCATTCAGTTTTGGAAACACTCTCTGTGAGTTCACACTAATTGGTTTTTAAACGTCCTTCACAAAAACATTAATGAGTGCATCTAAATTGCAACTCTTCAATTAAGACTAATGTAAATCTCCCTGACACTAGTAGTCCCTTTTGGGCCTCCTTCCACAAGGGTTGCGGGAAGGGTAGCTTCCATTTTTATTTCCAATTAACCAGTTTCCAAAAGCTTCTTACTGGTTCTGTTTAATCAAAATTCTGAGACAATTCCTGTTTGCAGTCTAGAGTCTTCTTACAGTTTCAGCTTCAGTTCCTGTCTCATTGTGTGGGTAAGTGTGCATGTCGGGGAGAGAGGGTGCACACACTTCTTCGGCGTATCTTTTGCTGAGAACAGCTGGAACCCAGCCTTTAACAGTCTTTCTGGTCAACATACTGCTTACCAACAGGAGACCAACTTTCTTGTCTTCTCCAAATTCCTGTTTCTCTTCCAAATAATTGTTCTAGGTCTTTCTGCCAGCCAACCCCAATTCCTGAACACTCTAACACCCCATCATTCCTAGATCAGGGTAAATTTGGTACCAGGAAGAACATTCTGCATTTCTTATAGCAGTTCTAAATCAATGCGTGAAAGACTGTTTTAGAACTTTTGTACTCTTTCAAAGGAGGATTATATCACAGTACAAAGCTTCCAAGTGTAATTATTATGCAGACAGTAGTTCCAAAGATGCTTTTATGTGCCTATGTACCGTGTTTATGTGCCTATGTACAGAAAAATCTGGAAGAAAATTGGTATATTATTGGCAATTTCATAAAGCACATATTGCCAGTATTTTAAGATTCCTTTGCACTCCAGGACATTTTCTCAAGATCAAATCACATCTGTGTATGTAGTAACACAACACTATCAAACAAAGTAGGAGAGCCACTACAAAGTGAAATCTCCTAGCCCTCATCCCAGTTTGATAATCTAGGACATCAGAGTAATTAAAGCTGCCAAGGGCCTAGTCAATAACCAGGGTTACAACTCGGTTGCCTATGCACCCTTTGATGCAAATAGTTCACAATCATTGAAATCGTTTTTGTCCCATATTTGGGCTACATATCAGAGTCCAAATTTGCTCCTTTGAATAAGTTATGCTCAAAGGAGTAGTGGGAGTGAGATTTCTCAGGGGCCTTCACAGACTAGCATTGTTCCAACAATTTTACAAAGTCCAGGTTGCCCTCTACATATCAGCAGCCTCAGATCCCACCCAAGCACAGCTGATTAGGTCTAGCTTCCTTCAATTGGTTATTCCTGAGTAGTCCTTGCCAGATCCAGCTGTCTCTTGGCATGGAGGAGCACTCCTTGGCTTCTCTGTCTTCTGATGCTTCCTGCTCTAGGTCAAGAGTCTCTTGGTCCAGGGCAGGAGAGTGGGGGATAACTGTTGGTCAGCATCAAATGCTCTCCTTCTTCAGGTGCTTCCTCCTGGTCATCTTCCTTGTTTGAGGAAATCTCTTGAGACCAGACCCTAACATACTGTGAGTTGAAGTACTTTGTCCAAAATGACAAACTTCAAAGAAGACAACAGTTCTGAGTGCAGAACAAAACAGCCCATGTTCCAGAGATTTTTTCAGAGCTCAGAACAAAACAGGACATTTAATTCCATACTGTTTTGTATCTTCAATATCCCATTATTAGCACTGGAGGAAAAAAAAAATCCTCCAGCCACGGAGACTTGAAGAGCACCAATAAAATAGTAGGCACAATTTCCATCTTGACTGCCACTAACATGATTGAGTTGAGGAGAAGGTGAGTCAGTTAAGCACATTTTCAGAGATCAAGAAGCATTGTGAATAATGGAAAACACCGATGCTGACCTTACTGGTATTTTTAAATTCTTTGCTATGTGGAAGTTAGACATGGGTTGTAACACAATGTTGTTCCTGTTTGGCCTTTGTGAACTGTGCTTTCTTTTACAGGTAGATTACTAAATGCAAAAGTGTTCTCTGTGTATATGTCTTTTGGCAATCTATGAGTATTCAATTTTTAGGGTACCAAATACAAAAATGATTTATTTGTTGAGCTTTAGAAGCAGCTTGTCCAAAGTGTATGCTGTGTGTATACATTAGGAAGAATCCAGAAAATTTTACTTTTGCTATTGTTATATTCTTCATGAACTGCATTAAGTGGGTCCACTGGTTTTTTATGGGAATTTGGAAATTATTTTTATGGGTATTTAAAATATACTTTAAATCTTTTTCCTTTAAATCATCTTGGTGGTTAACATTTTGGTAAACTGAGTGGTAGGTAGCCTTGAGTGTGGATGACAACCTGATCCATTTTTGGTGGCCCTAAGTTGAAAAAGGTGAGAGCAATAAGTCTGTCAGAACATAGGACACTTGAAATGCTTCTGTCAGACTTTTGTCAATGATAAATTTTGGCTCTTCAATAACTTAATCCCACATTCAGAAGCTTCACAGGTTCAATACAGCTTTATTGCAGACAAGAAAGTCCTACCTATGCAGAAGATCTGCTTACTACTAAACACAAAAACCAAAGCTTGTATGTATGTCAGCACCAGCATTTCAAACTTATGATTTCCATTTGCGCCCCTTCAAGTTAACAGACTTTGGGTTATTCTTCTCCTAGTCTTGAGAAGGAGGCACCAACTCAAAGCTTATGCAACAGCGCTATCTGGCCTGTGCACTGCTGGTTGCTGGCTCACAAGCTTATGCCTCTGAGCCTTCTACCCCTGGACCATAGGGCACTGGGAGCAATGCAAGGGCACTTCAATGATCCAAGTAGAGCTGCTTTGTTCTGAACTCAGCACAAGAGCTCTTCACAGTCGGTGGTCAATCAGAGCGTCCTTCATTATTTTGCAAGACTTTTTTACAGCATCCACGAGTGCAGGAGCAAACGTACATTTCTCTAGAAATGGTTTTTCCCTTCTTCATGCTTCAATAAACTTATCCTAACACTAACAAGATGGTACTCAAAGTACTTTTAGGGGTAAAAAATCATACAGCCTTCAAAACCACCCCTCCAAAGTTAAATATCAGTTGTTCCACTAAAAACAAGAGATATATCACTGAGGAGTCTGCCATGTTCTCACGAAAGTCTTTATTCCCAAAATTAATAAGTCAGTCTTGACAGTGGACTGACTTGGATGTAACACAAAACCTAATATAGCACTATGTGAACCAGCCAGCCTCACCCTGAGGATTCCAGCTTTCAGCACAGTGTTAGGTGCCATCAGCACCTTAACTAAGCAGAACTGAAACCAGATTAACTTCAGCTCTGCTTACTTAAAATGAAGCGGGTTTTTAACAACCTATATGAAGGTTTGATTTCAATTATGAGACTCTTATGCTTACAGCCAAGATACTGCATTTCAATTATTTTTAGTGTGTCATATATTTCAGTTTATGTAAACTGCTTTGATTTTAAAAGCAAACAAAAACAGAATATAAATAATAAGCAATAAGTGATTTATTTTCATATAGGTTCTCTTAAAATTTCCTGGATTGTTCAAAAGTAACTTCCTTGTGGAATCTGAACAGGAAACAGATCTATCCCTGTCACAGGACATCCCCCAAAACAATAATTCAGCATCATGGGGTGAATGCTTTCAGCCCCCCATCTCCAGTGGCAGCCAGCATTTTACTCATGATTTTAAAGCCTTGATTTTGCAATGATTCTGCTAAAATTAGGAGTGAACTATCAAACTTGTAATGTAAGAAGAGGTCTCCTACCTTCATTTATTTATTTATTTCATCAATTTATATAGTTGCTCTTCTCGCAATCACAACTCTTTCACCCAACAATCTAAGCACTTTGAACAATGAAGCAATGGTGGAGTAACATCTATTCCCAACTCTAAAATCATGGATTTTTTTGCTGTGCTGAATATCCTGAAAATAAAAAACTGGTACTTGCTGTATCTAGCCTTTCTATTCGCCTAAGTGTCATTCAAACTGCTAACCTCTTTTGGGTTGAGGGGGATAAAAAAAAACCAACTGCATAGCATAGCAGGGGTCCTCAAACTTTTTAAACAGGGGGCCAGTTCACAGTCCCTCAGAATGTTGGGGGGCCCGACTATAGTTTGAAGAGAGGAGGAGAGCCGCCGGACCTGGCGTACCTGTCATGTAGAATAGTCCGGCTCGGCGATCTCCCTCCTCGTGCATTGCCTGCAGCTCCCGACACAGCCCCGACACTTCCGCTTCTGACAGACAGCAGCGGCAGCCAATCAGGCGGGCGGGCCGGATAAATGACCCTGGCGGGCCATATCTGGCCCGCAGGCCGTACTTTGAGAACCCCTGGCATAAAGATATCTCTGACCCAGCTTCTACCCAAGCACCATGCCCAGAGAGTATTTCACTATCTAACAGAACTTTACTTTTTGCACAGAATATTTT